TGTTCTTCTATAACTCATATTTTTATGTATATGCTTTAATGATTTTTTTCTTTACAATTAGTTTTGGATAATTTCATTTTTGTGTATCTTGGTATGATTTCTTTCTTTCTTTCTTTCTCTTTCTTTCTTTCTTTCTTTCTTTCTTTCTTTCTTTCTTTCTTTTTTTGTGGAACCGGGGATTGAACTCAGGCCCTTGCGCTTGCCAGTGAAGCGCTTATTCCACTGAGCCATCTCCCTGGCCCCTTGGTATGATTTTACTCAAATTTCTTGTCCAAACGTTCATTTTTCTGGAAATGTGGTCCTATAATTTCAGCTAAATTCAGAAATGTTAAATCTTAAAAAAAATAGAATGCATAAGCAACTCAAAAAAAGTAGACACCACTAATCAAAAAAATAAGCATCTGCCCTGAATACACTTCTCAGCTGAAGAGTACAAATGGGCGATAAATGCATTAAAAAATGTATAACAGTGCTGGGCATTCAAGAAATGCAAATTAAAACAAACTGAGATCCCATCTTACTCCAGAAAGCGTGGCTACCTTTAAGTAATTCCTGGAGAGGCTGCAGGGAGAAAGGGATCCCTCTTCCCCATTGGTAGGAGTATAAGCTGGTAAGGTCACTGTGGTGATCAATAGGGATATTCTTCAAAAACTGAAACTAGAAGTTCCATGTGACCCAGCTACCCCCCTTTTGGGTGTCTTCCCCGAAGAGTGACCGGCATCATGTCACAGTGACATGTGCACACCCATGTGTATAGTAGCAGAATTCATAACAGCCAGATCTTGAAGGCAGGTCTATGAGACCACCAGCGGAGAAATGAAGACAATGTGGTGTTTCTACGCAACGGAGCACTGCTCTACAAAGGATAAATGTGAGTCATTGGTATGAAAAGGGATGCACCTTGAGACGGTCATGTTAAATAAATCAAACACACAAGCTAAAACATCACATATTTTCCCTTCAGTGATAAAACCCAAGGTGCAAAATAAAAGACAACAGGAAAAAAGAGAAAAAAATTATGCAATCCAACATAGCCACTACATCTAAAAGTGTACATTGATTTAGTACAGTTGTTTTATGTGTTTTTTTTGGTCTGCTAGTCTGGGTATTTATTTGTGTTTATGATAATTCTATAAAGACTGAAAGATAAATCTAACCCTGGCAAATAAAAGTTACACAGCTGGATGGTGGGGAATGTTACACATGTGAGTATATTTAATACCTCTGGTTGTATGTGTCAGCAAGGTTGAGATGGTGTTGCCTAGTATGAGAATTTTACCATAATAAACAATATTAAGTGCGTTCAATGTTTAATTCAAGGCTTGAAAATGGTGTTGAAGGAAACAGGTCAGGAATGGCATCCCCCCTCCTCCCGCACGCAATGAACAGATGAGGAAATTGAGGTTCACCCGCTCAACCGCCCTGCATGTTAGCTGAGAAGACAGCTCCTCTCAGTCTCCGGGCCCCCTGCCCCTGCACACACCTGCCTGGTCTCTGAGGCATCTTACTTCACACCTGCAAGTCCAGGTGCAGCAGCAGCCAGCAGAGCCTCCTACAGGGTCAGGCTCCCTCTGCAGGCGGGGCCGAGCTCTGCCCTGGGATGGATCGCAGGGAAACGCGAGGAGCCGGGTCGAAGCTAAGCCAGAGACAGCAGGCCCTGGCCCTGTGACGGAAAGCTCGCTCCAACTAGAGAGTGAGACTCGGGACCCAGCCCTGGCGGCGGTGCCAACTGAGCACCCCGTGTAATGTGAGGACAGAATCGGGGCCTCCAGACTCACAGATGGAAACTGAGTCCAAAGTGGGAGGTGCAGGTGGGCCAGCCGAGCCCACAGCTGGGTTCACACCCAGACAGCTAGCTCTCAGGAGGAGTCTTGGCCGTGGCCCGGGGCCACGTGGTGGCTCCTAGGAACAGGAGAGAGAGAGAGAGAGAGAGAGAGAGAGAGAGAGAGAGAGAGAGAGAGAGAACTGCTGTTACTGAGGCAGGTGCCCTCCCAGCAGGGACTCGGGCAGAGCCGGGAGGGCAGCACCATGGATATGGACAGTGGAGGGCAGCTGTGTGACCGGCTGTGGCCTGGACCCCTCTGAGCCTCGGTGTCCCCATCTGCATATGCATTAACATCGACTCTGCATTCCCTCCGCAAGGACGCCCAGAAAGCGCCCCTTTCCCCCTGGTCCCTGTGACTGTCACATCCACCCTGGCCTCTTGTCTGTTACTCTTCTCTCGTTGTTGGGACAAATACCGGACACTGAAGCGTAGGGAAGGAAAGGTTTATTTAGCTCACAATTACAGGAGATTTCATAGTTTAAAGCAGCCCGAATTACATAGCAAGATCTTGGGACACTACAGGGTCTGGAGGAGAGGCTGGGATGCCACCGTGTCCAAGATGATCCGCTCCACACCTCCAAGAGAGGCCAGCAGACCTGGGGTGGGGGGAGGGGAGGCACATGCTCTCAGTTTAACGGCTCGGCTCGTGCTTCTCTGACCCCCCCTCAAGCCCCGCCCTGGTCCTCTGGCCCTGCCCCCTAAAGCCCCGCCCGGGTCCTCTGACCCCGCCCCTCAAACCCCGCCCTGGTCCGCTGACCCCGCCCCCTCAAGCCCCGCCCTGGTCCTCTGGCCCTGCTGCACAAGCCACCCCGTCATTTACGTGAGGCTTTGCAGGGACAACTATACAAATCACAACAGCCTCCAGCCAAGGTGCTGAGGAGAGGAGCCAGGTGCTGGCCTCGATGGGCTAGGGAGTGCAAGCCTGGGACACCCACCCCTGCCTTCTTTGTCACGCATGGGCTCTAACGGGGATCAGGGTGGGTGCTGCGTGAATGTGTGGCTAAGAGGGAGACCAGCCCTGTCTGCACCTGCATGACTACATGTGTGTCGTGTGTGTCTCATGTGTGTGTGTCTCTGTGCTTCTCTGTGTGTGTCTCCGTATGTGTATCTATGCGTGTGTGTGTCTATGCCTGCGGGTCTAATGAGGACCCGAGGCACAAGGATGAGGATGGGCACTGAAAGCAAAGCCGCTCCTCCCTGGAGGCAGAGATGTGCTCTTTGTCTGTCACCCTGAGGACTCTCTTGGTGGCACATGGCTCTTGTCTTCCACCAGTCCCAACACAAACTTTGGAGCTTGGACAAGGCACATTGCAGACCCCGTGGGAGCCTCCCCAGGGCAGATCCATGGGGAAAGATACTCAGGGATGCAGCGGGTGACAATTACTAACTGCCACCACAGAGCAGGCACACTGCTGGGCTCTGCAAAGTGTCCATCCATGTCTCCTCTCAGTGTACCCTGCAGGGGCTCTGGGGTGGCCCCGGGGCTCCCTCCTACCCCCGTCCAGATGGCCTGACACCAGCTGGTTGTATGGACAAAGCCAGGCCAGGGAGGGCAGCGAGGGTGTTGGGAGACAGCAGCAGCTCAGACACAGACGCCGCCCACGGTCAGCAGTCGCCCCAGGCTCCTGCACAGAGGGCCCCGGTCACAAAGGAACTGAATGTTCCTATATCTTTTCTGTGGCCTGCGAGTCCCCACGGCCTGAGGGTGCATGGGGGACAGTCAGTGCTGCACATTCAGGCACAGCCTCCTGTGGACTGTGTGCCCTGCTCAGCAAGTCCTGCTCCAGGGCCTGAGCTGCCAGGGTTGGTGCTGTGAGCCCCCCTGCAGGGTTCTGTGTCCTCACTCTATGCAGGGAAACTGAGGCACACACTGTGCAGCTCTCTCCTATGGCAAAGCCAGGACCTGAGCCCCTGCAGTGGTGTCTTAGGCATCCTAGGTATTCAGGGGCAATGCACTCTCCCTGCAGCTCCCAGCACACAGTAGGCCCACAGGCTTAGCACTAGGGATGACACTGACTTAATGCCTCTTCCTCCTTGTGCTGCCTCCAGGCCTGAATGGGTCCTGCACCCTGGAGTCCCAACCTCTCCCTGCAGAGAGCTGAGGAGTAGCCGGGCAGTGCCAGCCTCTGCCCTGGTCTGTCCTCTGCCTCTGTCCTCTCCCCTGTCCTATGAATCCAGCCCTCTCTGGGTGGCAGCTTCTCTGTGTGTTACATAAGGGCATGGACAGAAGCCCTACCAACTTCCCTGAGGCATGGAAGCCCTTCCGATCCTGATCTAACCCACTTGCTGCTGCTAACCTTGGTGATTCCTTTAATCTTCCTGTGCCCCAAGAAGATTATAACATGGGAGCAGGGTCACTTGCACCCGAAGCCATTGCAGGAGCAAGGGCAGCTGACAGGGCAGG